AAGCATCTTCCAAGAAAATAATACCCCCAACGATACCTTTCTTCGGTTGCTCATTGTTACTATGAGACTTGTGCAATAGATTTTTGTACTCATTAGTTCTGTTGTGTGCCGACCATGATTGAAAACAATAAGAGTGCTAGCTTTCGGCTTCACCCAGTCTGAGGTCCGAGCTCGGATGACCTGATCGTGACAATCGCAGAGGTGCTGCCTTTACTCCCTAGCCGAACAATCGGGAACGTAGGGGTAAACACAGGAGCAAGGCAACCTAGCTTGCGGAACACTTAAGTCAACATGGTGTATATTGTGGCGTAATACACGAACAAGGAACGAAGCCATACAAGTATAATCATATGCAAGAGGAAAGGCTTCATAAAGGAAGCCCCCAAGTAAACGGGGTATTTGAATTTGTGTGTCACAAACAAAGTTTTGACAAGGAAGTTTTTCACAAATAACTTTTTGCCAGAGAAGTATAATGCTTGGTCGAACTGAACAAAATTGAAAACTAAAAATTTTTGAGCATGAAAGCGACTTAGCTGGTTAATGTGCTCGGTATTGATGACGCGGTACGAGCTTACGGCGGGATGAGCTCCCAGACCCCAAGCCGGTCCCGAGGTGGCAGAGCAAAGAGCTCGACGCTCCGAAGTGGTGACATAGCACGACCGATGCAGGCCGGCAGTGTGATGTCGAAGTACCCTGCATGGGTTAATGAAGTGATGACGAAGCCCCCGGTCCAGCCGAGGTGACGTGGTATGTCGATACGCCGAGGTGACATCGTTGCCCAATCCGGATCCTTTACCTGTGCACAGAAGATAGTGCAAGCCGGAGATAATAGTAATAATAATTTTTTTTCTAAAAAAAGGATGCATGATTAATAATTTATGCAAAGAGATTAATAAAATATATATGGCATGTGTGTCGAACACTCAATGAGGTAGAGCTCCCTCAACGATGCCGAAGTCCCGAGGCAACCGAACATGTCGGTATGGCAATTCGACCAACAAGGTGATCACGTGAGCCGATTTAGCCGATTGGGATGATGACGTCGGCTTGCCGAAGTGACCGCGTGACGCAGTCGAAGTCGATTACCTACACATGTAGAATAGTGTAGTCGAACAATAATAATATAAATATATAAAAATCCTCGCGTAATTAATTTACGCAAAATAATTTATTTAAAGATATGTGGCCTGGCGCTGAAGTCAATGTCGATGCAGGGCATCGGCGTGATGCGGTAAAGGCGTGGCAAAGCCGAACCACCACGCGACCCTCGTTAATGTGGCCACCATTTGATAGACCTGTGTACAGATGATGGAACAAACCAGAGTAATAATTCCTCAAAAAATAAACCCAAACAAGCAAAAATTATTAGGATTAATAGCACCTGGTTTATTTGCTGTAACAATCCGAAGAAAGGTGGCTCCCAAAATTGGGCCTCGATCCGCACACCCATTGCCTGATGGGCGATAAAGCGCCGGCATTGCGACGCTGGCAAAGGTTGGCTTGCCGAGACAAAGCCCTCGGTCCAGCTAACGTGACGAAGTTGGTCGGCTGGTGACGCCGGAGTCATCGGAGTATGTTGATGAAGAAATAGCAAAGTCCCCGATCCAGCCGAGGTGTCGAAGCCTCCATGTCAGCCGGTGAGTCAAAGCAGGTCGCCTGGTGACACCAAAGTCACCGGAGTAGCTTTGATGAAGATATGGTGAAGCCCCCGGTCTAGCCGAGGTGACGAAGCGGGTGGTAAGGAGACATTGCAGCTGCCGTGTCAGCCTAGGTGTTGAAGCAGTTCGGCGTGATGGACATCGGCTTGAAGAAGCAACCGTGCGACCATGCCGACGCAGGTCGTAACTTGTGACGCGGTCAATGCCGGCTTGATGAAGTGACCATGCGGCGATGCCGGTGTGCCCGCTGTGTGTGATCTGTAGGGTGGCGATGTCGGTGATGATTTATCATTTGTGATTCTGAACTCTTTGTTCGGCTCGCCAAGATGATGATCCGAAGAAGTTGAGCTCGGCTCAACAAAGCGACAACATGTCTAGTGCAGGTCGGCAGCCGTGAAGCAATATTGCCGGACTAGTTTGATACCAGCATGACGGTGAAGATTACCTCTGAAAAGGAGCAAAATTCGTGAGCATGTGTTCGGAAACAGAACACAATACCCTAGAAAGAGCTTCTTTCAAAAAGGTTGTCCAATATCTCGTTCATGAAGAGAGATGATCTCACGTCGGATTCGTATTCACGCAGAAAATAGATCCGAAAAGTGATACACTAATCGGAAAGTTTCCGGAGTTTGAACGATCGGATCGAGCTAAATTTTTGAGAGGTGGTAGATATGAAAATTCCGCAGCAGATGAACGGTTGGATCTTCCAAATAACCTCTGAGCTGGGCTCTCGAGACCATGCCCTAAACTCATCCTGATTCCCGTCCAGACTCGACAGGGCTCCGGTATATCGGATATCGGCGGAGATTGCTTCATCGGAACATGACGAAATTTTACAGGGTTGTTGTAGACTCAATTACGCATAATTCCATCGAAGGAATCGTCAAAGCGATGCCCGAGGAGATGGTGGAAGCAGATACAAGTTTGCTGTCGGGAAGAACAGCACGGTCGCCCGAGGGCAATGTTGACGTAGAGCCCCCGAACTCCAAGGATGATTCCTCCATGATCATGATAGAGATCGGAGTTGATGCTTGATGAAGGCCCTCGTCCAAACATGACGATTGGAGGCGGGGCACAGTCCTTGGTCAAGCCAAGGTGACGAGTCGAGCCGGCGACGAAGGCGCCAACGTCGCAGTTGATCTGCATGCGAGCTATTGATCCTTTGTCGATCTCACAGCAGAACTCTCAATGAAAGCACCAGTGTCGGTGTCAAAACCGGCAAATCTCGGGGTAGGGGTCCCGAGCTGTGGATTCTCGAATCAATGATAATAGGAACGAAGGAGACGATGTTTTACTCAGGTTCGGGCCCTCTTGATGGAGGCAAAACCCTACGTCCTTCTTTTGTTTATATTGATGGAGTATCAAGTACAGAGTTGATCTACCTCGAGATCATATGTTGTGGTCTAAAACCTGAGGGTATGATGAATAATGTCATAATAATCTAGCGACTAGCCTGGCCTCGGCTTATATAATGTACCAGAGGCCTGGGATAATAAGAGTCCTAGTCGAATACGTTGGTGGAGAGGAGTCCTTGTCTTGATCATCAAGTCTTGTGAAATCTTCCTCGTGTGCGCCATGGGCTGCCCGAAATGGCCCATGAGTGAACCGCCATGTGGTCCTCGACCCGATCCAGCTGGCCAGGAGACGACGTGGTGAGTATCCCCTAGTCCAGAACACCGTCAGTAACCAACATGACACCTTAATTGTTGTGACTTTTATACTCCCTCCGATTAATTTTAGGCTGTGTGCAGGCTCATCGACAAGGGTGTGCAACCTATGTGATTGCATAGAGACCCCCAAATCGTACAACCCTCCGACTGGAGAAAAAACAGGAAACGCCCTAGTTCATACTCCCTCCGTACGAAAAAGATTGTCTCTCAAATGGATGTATCTTGCATCAAGTTAGTGCTAGATACATCCATTTGAGAAACAAATTTGGGACAAGCTCGGACGGAGGGACATACACCTCGTACACCTCGTAAGTAGTACACACATGTTACACCAAGGTCTCTTTATTTAGAGAGACATACACCTCGTACCATGCACCCAGTCAACAGACCCAGTCGGCTTAGTGTCGGTCCCCCCCCCCTTTGGCCTGGTTTGTAAGAGGCCGAATGGAAAAACAAGCAGGCCTCGTGCGGCCGTTGCCGCTGCCATTTGATAAATTTAGATCCCCTCGCCTTCTACTGTTATCTTGGCACTGAGAGGTGTGTGTGTGGAGGGAAGGGGGCTCGGATCTTGAAGACCTATATGTTCTTCGTCAACGTCTAGTGATCATCATAGTTTTGTGAGAATAAATTTTCTCTTTCTTTTGGTGGTGCTATAAGGTTAGATAGTTTTATGTCCTCGCAGATCCGATTATTCGGATCTGATGAGTTTATGTTGCTGTGTCAAGCTTTTTTTGTTGGTATGATTTTTTGTGGAGGTGAAATCTTTCATCGACATCATGGTGAAGATATAGTGATTCGATGGCCTGCACTTTTAGGGGATCATCCCTGGCCCAAGTACGTCATCAATCAAGACTTCTCATCTTTTTGGATGGGTGACTCAAGGCGCTTTCAAAAACCATTATTAGTAATGTTCGTGCGGGTGAAAGAGGGACAACATCGTTGCTCCAGTCCAATTGCAGCTTCTTTACGGAAATCTTTGAAGTATTTCTTCGAACAAAGATTGATACCGCAAAGAAAGTGTTTTCAAGAGATTTCGTTTTAATTCTTAGTCATAGAAGTTACTTCGTATTTTTCTTGGATCTTATATCCAAATTAGTGTATCTGTAATTATTATGAGTATGAATAAAGTTATACATGTTTTTAAGAAGAAGAAAAAAGCAAGCAGGCTACTTACGGATCAAATAGAAAAATAAGTCCTACTCCCTACAGAGCATTCTTGTGTTTCATCCTTTTTATTCAATCTTTCTCTTTTATGTTTCTTTCTTCTATTTTAGAACATTTTACTTCTGTTCGTATTCTGTGTTTTGTGTAGCTCTTTTTTTTTTTGAGAAACGTGTTTTGTGTAGCTCTTGAGATTGTGATGCAGGGTCAAATGTAATTAATATATTCTCAATATTAATATTTCATGCTGCGGGAAGCACATGCTCGTTTTTTAAAGTGAAAAACTGAGTTGAAAAGTTACAAAAACATCCAAAAATTGTGTCCCCAGCAATTTTTTGGAACACTGGTCGTAGTAGCTGTGTGGGTGATTTTTTTTTTTTCAAAAGTGGGGCAATGGAATAACAAATACGAGGCCCTTGAACGCACATAACTCACTATTCGTAGTAGCAGTGGTCGCCTGGTGGTGTATCCTACTACAAAACAAACATACTCCATGAACGGAGTGGAGGTGCTAATCGTCCTGCAGGCCGTCGAGCACGACGGAGCCAACGAACAGCCCTGCAGCGACGGCCGCGAACAACGTAGCGACGACCGTCTGGGCCGTCACGAGCAGGGTGGAGTCGTCCGGCACGAAGACAACCGTGGCGATGGAGGCGACGACCAGCGGTAGCGACAGCGATGCGAGCACAGCCGGGGACACCGTGGCTGCGCTCTCGACGAGGCTGAGGAGTCCCAGGTCCTCGGCCTTGGAGAGCAGTCCGAGCTTCTCCAGCGAGGAGAGCGTGACGCCGAGCTCCTCCGCCTTGGACAGCAGGCCCGCCTTCTCCACGCTGCTCAGCACCTTGCGCTTCTCAAGCTTCTTGAACACGTCCACCGACGCCTCCTCGCTCCCCTCCGCGAAGATCCCCGCGCCGAACCACTGCTTGGACCACCCATCGTCGTACTTGTTCACCTTCAAGATCAATTTTTAAGATACTACTAGAGCATGTGGTGGAACTGAACATGGACATGAAATTGGATCTTGGCAACAAGAGAATTCACAGAGCTGGAGTCACAAGTCCGATTACCTTGTTCTTGGGAGCCATGGCTGTGACCTTGAAGTGCCTTCTCCTTGCGGGGGACGGGAGGCCCCGCTGGGACTGGGACAGACAGGACGAAGAGCAGCAGCCGGAGATTGCTGCTGATATTGCAGCCATTTCTGCCTCCTCTTCCCCTGCTCTCTTCTTCCTCTAGTGATACGAAACACAGGTTATTGTTTGACTTGTCTGCTTCTCGGCTTTTGTTGTACGTGAAACTGGAACGTGGCCGCTGGTTAGCAGCAGCTTATCTTTGGGATGGCCCCGAGGGCCACGAGATACAAGCTGAGCCACAAAAAATGTCATGGGGGGCGATGTGTTACGATGTCAGCGTTGGGTCTCCTACCGTCGGTCGTTGAGACACCTCAGCTATAATTCAGCTTGCCGCCAAGCCATTGGGATGTAAGTGGGGTGAAAACTTAGTTGCAATATATTTCAATGATATTTGATTATACAAACATAACAAAGAACTAAACAAAAATAATATATGTATATAATGTATAATATAGTTTATAATTGTATAGATGTAAATTTAGTTGAGTATAAATAGCAGAATGGCTAAACCTTTTTCCGTGCATCGTTGTTGATGTTTCTAACCCCTCTCCGCCAATTGCCTGAGCTCGTCGGCTCACTACCGCCATAGCACGTGTGTGTGCAAACCATCATCATGTGCATCGTCGGCTCGCCCCACAGCTTTTACTGTCGCCACTTGTCGGTTTAAAACTTTTTTCATCTACGGTTGAAGCTTTCTTTGTGAACGATTGCAACTTTTCCAGTTGTGCGGTTTCCCCTTGAGCTTTCTCTCTTGCTGGCTGAACATTTTTCCATCTATGGTCGAAGCTTTGTTCGGTCAACTGATGCAACTTTCTTCGTTGAGCAGTGCCCCGGTTGAAGCTTTTCCCGGTTGGATAGTGGCCAATTGAAGCTTTTTCCATTGTTGGCTGAAACTTTTTTTTCAGCGATTGCAACACACTTTACGACGGGTCCAGCATCACCTTGCAGTAGTGCGCCAACGCTCGCAGCTGGTCACTGCACAAAGGAGCCTGCAGTCCCAGCATGTCGAGTCTCCATTCCAGTACCCGTCCGTCACCGTTGCAGCATGTGTCCCCAACGCTGTTGCAGCTCGTGTGTGCAAGAGATGAGGGGGTTGCCCGAGAGGGAGAGGAAAGAAGGAGGCGCTTGTTGTGTCCGTTTATATGCCCGCAGTGGCCCGCCCTAACGGCAGGTGGCGGTGATTGGCCTGCAACAGCAGCGCCGCCTAGCTCATCACCAACGGGTTTGAAGATCGAGGAGTGGAGCGGCAACGAGCAACACGTCTCAAAAAAGGGAGAATGAGGGGTGCTTATGGAGAAGAAACAGAAGGTTGGGGAAGAAGATAAGGCTGGGGAAAAAGAAAGCAAAGGGCAACACACGACTGGGTGGGATTCGACGCCGTTCATGCGACCGACGCGTGCTTTGGTCAATCGGCCAGGGGTTCTAGGTCTTGTCGAGGTCGTCTTTGGCGGAAATGGCGGGCTGGGATTCCTAGGGTTCCTATGGCATCAACTGCCCCGTATGGTCGATTTGGTGTAGACATGTCGTGTGTGCTTCCGTTCGACTCTCCTGTCCTTGGATTTGTGCGATGGGAAGGACAGTGGTGGCGGGGATTCATGGTGGGAGGGTGCGTTGGTGTCGGTGGGTGTGGTTGTTGGGTTTTGCGGTCGACGGAGATGTCCGCGGCGGCCTTCTGTTGTCCTTCCGCCCTCTGTCTCGTCGCCGGGGGTGAGGCCGTGTCCAGGTTGACGGTGGCGGATGTGGCGAGCTGCATAGGGTCCCTTGCTATGTTTGCTTCGATTCGACCTTCATATGCTTCGATTTTCTGCAAATTAGGAGTAGTTGTAGACAATTTTTGAGATAATATAGCCAATCTGCTAGCCTTGTGGTGGATATCCTGGTTAATGTGTATTCCCCTGTTATGTGCAACTAGGGACCATTACCCGTGCAAATTAGTACCTATCCTTGCCAATATACTTCTATCCAATATATTGTATCCAAGTTGCCAGGCTTTGTGATAGATCTGGTGGTTTGTGTGTTTTCCCCCTGCTGTGTGCAACCAGGGACCCTTGTTTGTGCAATTTAGCACCAATGCTTGTCGGTTTTCCAATATGGTCTACCCAATCTGTCAGTCTTGTTGTGTATGTGGTTGTTCATGTGTTTTCCCCTGATGTGTGCAACTAGGGACCCTTGTTTGTGCAATTTAGCACCAATGCTTGCCAGTTTTCCAATATGGTCTACTCAATCTGTCAGTCTCGTTGTGTATGTGGTTGTTCATGTGTTTTCCCCTGCTATGTGCAACTAGGGACCATTATCTGTGCAAATTAGTACCAATGCTTGCCAATTTTCCAACATGGTCTACCCAATCTGCCAGTCTTGTTGTGGATGTGGTTGTTCATGTGTGTTTCCCCTGCTGTGTGCAACTAGGGACCATTATTTGTGCAAATTAGTTCCAATTCTTGCCAATTTTCCAACATGGTCTACCCAATCTATCAGTCTTGTTGTGGATGTGGTTGTTCATGTGTGTTTCCCCTGCTGTGTGCAATTAGGGACCATTATTTGTGCAAATCAGTTCCAATGCTTGCCATTTTTCCAACATGGTCTACCCAATCTGTCAGTCTTGTCGTGGATGTGGTTGTTCATGTGTGTTTCCCCTGTCGTGTGCAACTAGGGACCATTATTTGTGCAAATCAGTTCCAATGCTTGCCAATTTTCCAATATAGAATATTCTTGTTGCACAAGTTCTGTTTGTCCCAGTTGCACAAGTTATCATAATGAGCTTGTTGCCTTTAGTTAACTATTTTCTGCCTAGTTATTACTTGCCACAGTTAAACTTAGTTGGCTTATATGCTGTCCAGTTTGCACAAGGTTGACTGCCCAGTTGGCTGCATCATTTTAGTAGTTGGTTGTCCACATGTTTTATAGGTTTTTGCAATATGTGTCTTGCTTATGTGTAGAGGTCTGCAGATCAAAGCAACCTTCTATTATTTCTCTAGTTTGTTTGTGCATCTTCTAACTATGTTTTCTTTTGTTGTCCCCCCCCCCCCGCAGGGTAAAAATGGTTATAATAGGAGGAGATGCGGGTGGCAATGAAGAAGATGCATTTTTTCACCTTTTCTGTGTTTTTGAGTTGTTTTCAACTTATGCACGTATAATGTCCTTTTTCATGTTTTCTTTGGTTGCTTAATCAGTGTTCTGGAAGTTAGTCACTTCGCCGGAACTCGAAGCGTCCTGCTAATCGCCAGCCACGACCTGCCCAGAGTGTTCAGCAAGGAGAGGACGTTGAGGTAAGTGGCATGCTAATGACACAAGCACCTTATTTTGGTTTTGTTTGGGTCATATAAGTTTTTCCGTTTTTTTCCCATACTCATGTTTTTTATTTTTCTTAGGATGTTGACCAGTTTCGTGTTGCAAAGCGGACTAGACGTGCAACACTTGGAAGGAGAGCTGAGTCATCTTCTAGGGTAAGTAAATTCTTGAATATAAGTGTTTCTCGCTTTTTAGACGCTGATGAAATTATGCAGCCATTGCTAGATTTTTGTTGTAGTTGGTCAATAACAATCTTGTAGTTGACATCACTGGTCATCTTGATCTAAATATAATTGACATTAATTGGCATCTTGTAGTTGACATCACTGGTCACTATTTTTGTGCAGGCATCAGTTGCTGGAGGAGCTGTCGCATCTTCCGCAGCAGATGCTGAGGTATGTGGGGTTTTGTGTGTGTGTGTGTGTGTGTGTGTGTGTGTGTTTATGAGCTATTGAACAGTTCCTTGCAAACCTTTTTTAGTTGATGTTATCTTTTTGCAATATCATTTCTTATTGTTGCACATCCCCTAGAACTTTTTGTAGTTGTCAGGTCTAGTATATTTTCTTAGTTTTTTTGCAGGCTGCACACTGGTAGGCTTCAGTTGTTATCATGAGCTTTATTAGTTGCACAAAAACATCATATTAGTTGGCATGATCCATTTTATGTTTATATAGTTTTTGCAATACTCATCCAAATGATGATTGCTAGTTTTTTTCAGTCCTGTTTTTCGTCTTGTGTTTAATGTTTCCTTAATGTTTTTATTTTCTCATCAACGGGCCAGCGGTGAAGGAGTTGAGGTGGTTGCAGGGGAAGATGTGGAGCGACCATCACAAGCGGGCAAGATAAGGGCATCACCAGGGCGGTTTGCGAAGTTCAATAGCTCTCTATCCCCACCATAGAAGTCTGAGCTACTTTCGAGGTTGTTCGGAGGCCTCTTGAACTTATCAGACACACTTCCAGCGGACCTCACTAAATTCCTGGTGCAGTCCTACCAGCCAGAGAGCTCTGAAATGGTGTTCCCGGGCAGGGGAAGGATCCGCGTCGATGCTGACAGTGTTCACAGGGTATTTGATCTCCCAAACAAGGGTCAAAAAGTCAGATATGTAGTTGACAAGGATGCAACTAGGAGATTCAGAGAGGCTTTCAACATAATTGGAGATTCTCATCCCTAGATCACTACATGGTGCAAGATGATTAAGGACATGGCGGGAAGAACGGATGACACATTCTTTATGGCCTGGCTTGCAGTTACATTCAACACTTTTCTAGCACCAACCACGGCCCGGAGGTTCAGTCCAAAGTGCTACAGACACTAGTGCAGAACCGGCCTTTAGCGCCAGTTCGTAAGGGCCTTTAGTGTCGGTTCCACAACCGACACTAAAGAGTGGGGACTAAAGGTCCCCCCCCTTTAGTATCAGTTCGTCACGAACCGGCGCTAAAGTGCCACCACGTGGCACGAGCCAGGCCCGGGTGCGCGTAGGACATTAGTACCGGTTGGTAACACCAACCGGTACTAAATGTTTGGGGTGTTTTGGTTTTATTTTTTATTTTTACTTTAATTTTGTGTTTTCAATTTAATTTAGTGATTGTTTTACATTATAATGAGTTGTTAAATCATTAGGTGAAAGTATCGCAGATTAGTTTCGACTGGATGCATGTGGATCCTAACTAAGTGATCTAGTATATGCCATATCCATATTATACTTGATCACCTGTGATCAAGTATAATATGGATATGGCATATACTAGATCACTTAGCTAGGATCCATCCAGTTGAA